GATTGATATGTGGGGTTTAACGTCCCAAAACCACCATGATTATGAGAGACGCCGTAGTGGCTCCGGAAATTTCGACCACCTGGGGTTCTTTAACGTGCACCCAAATCTGAGCACACGGGCCTACAACATTTCCGCCTCCATCGGAAATGCAGCCGCCGCAGCCGGGATACGAACCAGCGACCTGTGGGTCAGCAGCCGAGTACCTTAGCCGCTAGACCCCCGTGGCGGGTCCGCAAAGTAATATTAACAACAGCTTTCCCTATACTTTCTTTCACTAACAAAAATGACACGCCTTATTCTGCTGGCTTTCTTCCCAACTTTTCAAGTACGTATATATACGTAACCGCAAACCGCAAACAATAAGTGGTACTAGGGGTACTTGGGTGAGGTAGCGTTTCTCTTGGACATATTTCGCTGCAACGTACCTTTTCTTATTGTTCCTCACGTGAGCTCCTCGTACAATGTAACACATGGCGCATTTACAGTGCGTCCGGATCGAGAACCTTGATTTTTATTATTAAAATACAAATAACGTGCATCTTTTTTTTTTCTTGAGATTAAAAAAGCTTGCCATAAATTTTCACGTGCTACAGCTTTCCCATACAAAGAAATACCTTCAGGATAATTCAAAATTTTGTGAGTTTTCCTCAATTGTTCGTTTCAATGCTTCTCAAGCAGTGGTCAAGTTTTTCCGCCTGAGCGTAAAGTTCATTTGCGAAATTGATTGTCAGAGGTCTTAAAGACGATAGTCTTTCTTGGGGACCTTCAACGCAAAAATTTTGGTCTGTCTATTTGTCTACCCTTAACGACACCCCAAACGGCACCAAATGATACCCCATACGGCCGACACCATCCGCAGCGCCCACCAATATTGCTGAAGGTTCAGCATTCATACTTGCGTGATTGTTAATGAAAAACAAATATTGCGCAGATCTGGGGCACCCGAACAACCCGTCAATATTCTGTTTGTGTGTATTTTCACTAAAAAAGGAATACATAATGAATTCTAAGCGCCGTAGCGTTTATCACGCTGCGCTGACCATGCAACGTTTGCACGAAAAGGCGTTTCCAACGCTTTGCTAAGACGAGATGGTAGTGGCACCTACCCGTCGCCTTACGTTCTACACCTTATCGGCTCCGAGACGGGCCCGCACGCCGCGCGCTTCGTTTTCCAAGAGAACTGCCAGATAGCGCTCATGTCTTACGTGTGACGTGACTTGATGCGCTCGTTCGCCTCCGCTTCACGCTCGAGGCACTCAAACGCAGCGCCTCCGGAATACCATTCACCAATTTTCTTGCGCAGAACATCAAATAAGTGTTTTGTTCACTCTCTCCAGACGCAAGACTATCGTCTTTAGACGACATTTGCAGTGTAACATGCAGATACGAGGCCCCCTTTTTTTTAATTTATAAATATGTATTGCCTAAAGAAACAACCAGCTGGTACAACTGTTCGGTTTTGTAAGTTACATTGTATGCCCCGCAGCGGTGGTCAAGTGGCTAAGGTAGTCGGCTTTTGACCTGCAGGTCGCGGGATCGAATCCCGGCTGCCGTGGGTGCATTTTCGACGGAGGAGAAAACGCCGTAGGTTCTTGTGCTCAGATTTGGGTGCACGTTAAATGACCCGTGCACCTTAAAGCGCCATCTCCAATGTTTTTTCAAGCATTTCAAGCAAACGCGCGCATCGTGTGCAGAATGCCGTTGCGATCAACGATTCTGCACGTGGCAGCGCTACGAGCCACCGGCAAACCACAAATTCCAACAAACAATCCCTCTTCCTTTCCGGGTTTTTCGGGCCTCCGCGTGACGCGCCGTGCCACATCTCTTGCGCGCCGAGGCAAATATGCTGTCAAGCAAGAGCCTAAGGAAAATGTATGGTGGCGCAGACAAAGGACACGGACAAGAGAAGGCACATCCAAGACAACACAGCGCTAACTTTCAACAATGCTGTGTGGTCTTCGATGTTAAGCCCAAATCGCCACCCTCAGAGCCTACGGCTTCTGATCAGCCTGCAAGCAGCTTACCGCGCTGCTTGTTGTTGTTTGTCGTGTTTCCCGCGTGCGTGTAACACGTGCGGGGCACGTCGTGTCCCCGTACGGGTCCATCTCGTTATCAATTTTTCGAAGGCGTGTATGCAATGCAGGTTCCATACCGGCACAATTACGGCAGCCATGGTTCGCTAACAAGCACGCAACTGACGGAGTCGATGACCGGAGTCGCGGCAACCGGAAGTATACGGCCTTTCAAGCAGCGCGTCAGCGATGACGTATGCCACCAGAGATTGATAGGGGCATGGGAGGGGTGCTCGGTGACAGGGCAAAGCGGCGTGGGAGAGGATACCAGTGGAGTAGAAGCACAGGAGAGAGCGAAAGGAGTGGTCGTCACGATTTCAATAATCAAAATCGTCTAACTCCACTATTACTGCACCGTATCGAAAAATTTTTATGGCTCCGTGTTCGTCGTACACTCGTGCACAATTTCCCCACAACAACTGAATTTCAACGTCTGGTTGGTTTACGGGCCCCTTAAAGCACCCCAGGTGGTCGAAACTTCCTGAGCCCTCCACTACGGCGTCTCTCGTAAACATATGGTGGTTTTTAGACGTTAGAGCCCACGTATTAATTGATCAAGCTGCATTGTATGAAGCAAAAAAGCTATCGCTGAAGGCCGGTCTTGCTCCGAAGTTTCCAAGAACCGAGCAAATAACACCACGGGCGTCTGTTGTCGCTCGCTTTTATCGCTCCAACAGCTCTTTGGTGTCTCCAGATAAGATCGAACACGAAGTCGTGGTCAGTGGTCAGCATTCCCGATTTTCAATATGAATTTACTGTAGACCTCAGCATTGGAGCCTGAACAATGGTTCAATGGTTTCAATGTTGGTTTTGTGAATAAAGGGAAAAAAATTGTTGCCCGAAAAAGAAAACATACATGGACTTTGCCCCCCCCCCCCCACCCAAAAAAAAATAATAAAACGTTTGAACATTCATCGCACCTACGGAAAACAAAGGCGCACTTCTCGGCCACAGTATATACACCCTTCAAAAAACATTTGATATATAGGATCTTATGAGTGTGTTATTATCGTAGAAGTTTCAGGAAAAAATCACAATACTACAAACCCTGCAAAGAACTTCCATTTCGTTAATTTATTCCTGGGAACAACTGAGTGTAGTGAAGCTCGGTACATATTAACTTCGACACTTTCGCTTTCTCTTTAAGTAAATTTCGCGGTGTTATCGCGCATAATTTTACTTCCTATGGGAGTGAAACGTAAATCATTTACCAAAAACACCAATGTCTGGAAATATTTTTCGGAAAAAGGCCACCTTTAATTTTTTTCAAACCCCTCTGATTTGAAGTCGAGGACCTCATCTACCATTACTCATGAAAGAAACGATGCATAACTTTGTTTGCTAGCAAGTTCTCACGCGTCACATGTGACCCAGCCAGCCTTGCGGTGGCGTCATTTGTTATGTGCTGAAGATAAGATATAAATTGTTGAAACCAACTGGATAGCAGCTCCATAACAACAAATGTGCAGCCTGATCGCAAGACAACGCTTGTTGTCTTGTAATCAGCCATTTAATCTTATTAAGGATAGGCATTATATTTCTAACACAATTATCCGCGAGGATGGTACATGGTATAGTATCTTCAGCTTGAGGCGTTCATTTCATAGAAGAAAGACAGTTTTGCTGTTTTGGGAGTGAATTTTGAGCGAACAGAAAAAGACGGACATTGTTGCATGATTCCAAGCATCCCTTTCCACATACGTGTGTTCAACAGAATTCAAGTAGGTGGTTTACATGAGCTAAGATAATTATGCTTTTCAACTAGTGGTTTAATTATTTCTAACCTAAATCCTTCTGGGACTGCATCAAGTCCACGATAAATTGTGTGATTCTTTACTGCTATGCAACGAAGGTTAAGTACCTTGAAGTTGTCCATTTATATATTCCTAGTTGGCGATAGACGTTTTACTCGGAACATAAGAACATGTCCGCCAACCAGCTGTCAGAAATATCAATATTATAGTAATTTTTTTGCGCAAAGTGACATTAAGAAAAAGATGATAGTATTTCCGGCTGAATGCTCATTTTGAAGCCCTGCATCTCCGTGTGTTCTTTCAGTCATTCTGCACCAGTAAACATTCTTATTCGTAATCTTGAAACACTGTGCTGCGTCATTTAATGTGCTCTGGCACCATCGCTGGAATAGCGCGGGCCTAGAAAGTGATGCACTAAGATCAGTTATAGACTTTACTGAATCCTGCTACAGTTCACCATATGTTTGGGAAAATGGCAGCTCGAAGAAGGGAACAAGCACACTACATCTAGTTGCTCGTTTTCACCATAAAGTAAGTGTTTTAATGCAATTAGCCAAGTTTTTCAATTATCTAACATCGCTTCCGACATAGTGTTTCATGCGTTGTCCCGCTCTTCAAATAGTCCAGCTTATGCGTGAGAGGCGTGATAACAACCACAGCAGTTATTTAATTATAACTACCCATGTTCGTGCTATTTATCACCAGTGAGCGTGAGCTAACTTAGCAGAATAACCTCTATTAAGCGTTTAGAAAAAAGAAAGGTCGCTGTCATCGGTAAATAAAACATAGATGAACAAAACGCAGTACACGAAGTGAGTATCTCACAAAAGCGCTCGTCTGCAACGTTGTTGACGTGTATGACGCAATCCTGCCATCTTAATACGTAAGACATAAAGACTATGGCTGGAGCTATATTTCACCGGTTGCAGCCCCATCGAATGATGCTGGACAAGGCAGGCACAAGATCTAGAACAATGGAGAAGGCGTGCGCTGCTATAGAGAGATAGGTCGACGCATGATTTGTGAACTTACATGGACGCCTGGTAGCACCGCTGCACTTAACACGTTGCGAACACTCACCTATGGTGCTCTTTTCAAACAGTTTGAACTAAGGTTGTGAGTGTATATATAAACTTAGAAGTACGTCACATCTTTGCTTAATCGATGTGCAGGATAACTTTTAGACGAAACGTGGTTGGCAGAGGCCCAGCTGTATTTTACCGTCTTGAGGCCAAGAGCACTCAAGCTGGAGCTATTTGATTCTCGAGGTGGAGGCAAGAACCACGGCCGTAAAGATACGGTACCAACTACTACGGTCGTATATCACGTGGGCCCACTACTGTATAGCGAAAATGGCGCTGCTGGCGACGGCGTGCCTGCTTATTCTTGTAAATGTGCGGGCGTTAGCGCGATTGACCTCGGATCGTCGCTACAGCCCCGACTGGTCGTCGCTGGACACTCGCCCGCTGCCTTCGTGGTTCGACGATGCGAAGGTCGGCGTGTTCGTCCACTGGGGCGTGTTCTCGGTGCCCAGCTTCGGGAGCGAGTGGTTCTGGAACAACTGGCATTTCGAAGATCCGCCGCTCGTGGATTTCATGAGGCGCAACTACAAGCCGGGATTTAAGTACCAGGACTTCGCTCCGCAGTTCACGGCCGAGTTCTTCGACCCCGAACGTTGGGCCGATATTTTTGCGAAGTGAGTGTGTCGTAACTCATTACGCACTTTTTACACTCATTGCAGAAAATTGGTTCGCACATAGTATAAAGTGGTGAGCTCGATCGAATTACGTGATCTGCGTCTGACTGCCTGCTCACGGAGGTAAGATGCAATATACAACATCACAAATACAGCGTGACTGGGATTCGAAGGCAAGATACGGGAATTCGCTAAAAATATGTAAACATTATCTTTAGGAAAAATACATATGACTTGAGGCCATACAGTTTGGCATAATTCATCAGAGTATTCAAACCAGCACCCCGCCGTTGTGGTATAGTGGCTAAGGTACCCGGCTGCTGACCCGCAGGTCGCGGGATTGAATTGCGGCTGCGGTGGCTGCATTTTCGATCGAGGCGAAAGTGCTGTAATCCCGTGTGCTCAGATTTGAGTGCACGTTAAAAAACCCCAGGTGGTCTAAATTTCCAGAGCCCTTCATCACGGTGTCTCTTATAATCATATGGTGGTTTTGGGACGTTAAACCCTACATATCAATCATATACCAAACAGCACTTATATTATAGCAAAATAGTATCAAACCGGAAAACAAAATTCCTGTGTTGCCCTTTAGAGGAACTGAAGGATATGGTGGATGGACACAATACAAAAACAACATGCCCCAACCCTATTTTTAGGAATCAGTGTAACACTAAAGTGAAATGTGTTATCAACAAGTTGGTTGAGCATTCATTTTTCTATTTTTCAGCACAAGGATGAATGAATGAATCAATACAGCAACGAATTGAATTTTCATGCGAAGAATGGCAAGCAGTTCATAACTTACGGCGTACACTTTATGCATAGGGCACGCGCGAGATAGGCAAACACAGCGCGGGCGCGAACAACTGTCTCAGCTCGACACTTAGAGCAGGCTTCTCGAACGGAAAGGAAGGGCGCATGAAACGAACTTGCAAGAATACACAGGACGAGCGCGAACAACTTTCACAATTTTTACTCCATCGTATGTGAGCAGCGTGTGCTTTTCGTTAAAGGCAGCTATGGCAGTGAGCGCAGTGACCTTCGTGCTGTCTTGAATCACGAGTCCAATCTGATAAGCGCGCGCGCAGTCCGTGGAGGCGCATGTTCAAAGAAACGCGAGAGGCACCCAACACGAGGCCGTTAATTGCGTCATCTTGTTATTGATGACGAAAACGCGGCAAGGTTGTGGAGCTCTGAGGAACGCCCATGGGTATATGGTGTACATAAATGGCTTGCCGTTAGCATGCTCCTCAAAGTACAATTCATGGCATAGTGGCTGAGTTGCGCGCGGCAAAGTGAGAGGCCCCGTGTTCAATGCTCCGCTACGGAACATTTTCTTCTAGTTTTTTAAAGACGATAACTTTTCTCGGAATACTTCAACGCAGAAATTTCGGTCTGTCTGTCTGTCTGTTTATATGTCTGTTTGTCAGGCGAAACGGCTTCAGTCCGACCACATGCGCAGCGCCCACCAATATAGCTCATGTTTAGGAGTTCGTACTTGTGCGATAGTCAAATAAAAAGCGGGATATTACGTGCATCTGCGGCACAATATCAACGCGTCAGTGCTCTGTGGCTTCTTTATTTATACTAGAAAAGGCATAAATTAGCAATTCTTAAAACAGAATAATTTATTACACTGCGCTGACAATGAGACGCTATGCACGAAAAAACTAACTTCCTACGCATTGCTAAATCAATATGGTGTTGCCATCTACCTTGAACTCAACACAATATGACCTCGAAAATTCTTCTCTTTCCGAGATTACTGCAAGATGGCGCTCATGTCTCTCGCAGCGCCTTCAGAATCACATTCATTGGATGTTTTTTTTTTTTTCGCGCGAGGCGCAAAAATATCGTTTTTGGATGACATTTGCAGTCGGACATGCACATAGGGGGCCAATGTTTTTTTGCGATGTGTTAATATATATTTTTCTACGTCATATCCATGACAGAAATACGTCAGCGAAGCCGTGATGAGCCCCAACAAAAACACGTTTGTGTGAAAATTAAGCAGGGGGTTTATGCAGCTTCAGATATACTAGGTAAATTGCGTGTGCAGTATCAGCATTAGGGATTCGCTTCTTTCGACATCCTAATTACCTCGTACTTACAGTAAGCTCTTATCGCGAGCAGAAACTAGGATCGGTGACACAGTCACGGTGAAAGGTGACCGCACGGGTAACCATTGCAATCGACTGATGACATTAAAGCATTTTAATACGTGGCCTCACGCTGCCGATAGTTATGTCTTGCAGGGAGTAGGGTCTACGATGGTATAACTATAACGCACTATCAAATGCAAAGTATACCCACTCCTCCCCCCCCCCCCTCTTCGAAGTGTTCGAGGCCGAATGCGAACAAGCTTCGCAATGAATGCAAGAATGAAAATAGGTCGACGGTATCTTGCTCACAACGGCAGTTTGTTGGTCCCCAACTCACCGGCGGTAAAAGAATAGAAGTGATAAGTTTTTGAGATCCAACCTGAGAAGTCCTCGGCTGCCATTATTTTGTCAAACCTGCATGGACCCTGCACTCTTTAAAATGTGACCGCACAGATCAGACTGACTTAATGTGTGGGGCTAATTTTTTTTTATTCTTACTACCACACCCCACTTCTCTCCAACCGCATGCGCGGCTATTCCGAACAGATACGCTCTAAATCACGCTTTACCAAATTTAAACGAAATGTTGTTCGTTATGGAAAGTTTTCAGGACGCACACAACAAACATGTAAAGTAGGAAAACATACAAGCGCTTGTATGTATTCTTTTCATACGTCTTTGTTCTGTGCACGCCGAAAACTTACCATAATTAACAAATACCAGTTGGGAAACTGTGGCTTTCTCGTGTTTAGCGCACGGGGTAGCAGCGTTCGAACAGCTTTTAGTTGAACGTGGGCCTTGCCGCTACAATCCCTGTAGCAAGATGAACGCTTCTCGTTTAGGTCTGGGGCGAAGTACGTGGTGCTCACAAGCAAGCATCACGAGGGATTCGCGCTTTGGCCCTCGAACGTGTCATGGAACTGGAACGCCCTGGACGTTGGGCCGCACCGGGACCTGGTGGGGGCTCTGGCCAAGGCCGTAAGGAGCTGTGGAGGAATGCGGTTCGGGCTGTACCACTCATTGATGGACTGGTTCCACCCACTGTACTTGGCTGACAAGGCGTCCAACTTTTCGACTGCTTTGTTTCCACCTGCTAAGACCCTTCCGGAACTCGTGGAGATTGTGGAAAGGTGAGTGCCCCGAGAACTGCATTCTTGAAGGTTTTGTTCTTTGTAGGGCGGCGTATACGGGTTAACATGGCTTATACTCACTCGCCAATACCTTCGCAGATTATGCACTAACATCCAAGTGACCTCACACTCGCGCGATATTGGGGCAATGCATAATAGCAACAACCCAGAGAAAACAATGGCGGTACATATGAAGCCGCCCTGGTAAGGGTGTCTGTAGGACCAAAGGCGTCTGTTTGCGTGTGCCCTCTACTCTATGTTGCGCTGTGTCATGATTTTCTCTGATCTTCTTTTGTTTTCGCTTAAATTGCTGAGTGACAGCAGCGTAGAATTGCTCCAGGCGTCATGTGGATTTCGCAAGTAGACGATTGAAAGACACGCGCTTTACAACACGTTCAGGCATAATTGATCATCGTCATCATCATCATAATCAGCAGCAGCACGAGCAGCCGCTGCCGCCGCCGCCGCAGAGAATCAACACAGTGCGCTGTTGTATAGTTGAGGCTACGTAGTGGGTACGTCACTCCTTCACTACAATGAATTGTGGCGTTGATGACCCCTTCCCAACTATACTTGAAGGCATGCATTACATAAAACTTAGTTTACAGACCTGTACGCAGTGACATAGCGTTAAGTTTCCTTGAGCTCTCAGCAAACACATTATTATGAAAGCTTTCCCATTTACAGGTACCATCCAGAGATTGTTTGGTCTGACGGCGACTGGGAAGCGTCCGACGCTTACTGGAACAGCACCTCTTTCCTGGCCTGGCTCTACAACGAAAGTCCCGTGCGTTCTACTGTCGTGGTCAACGACCGCTGGGGCAGAGAGGCCCTGTGCAAGCACGGGGACTTCCTCACCTGCAAAGATCGGTTCAACCCAGGTGTGCTGCAGCGACGCAAATGGGAAAACTGCTTGACGATCGACAAACACTCTTGGGGCTACAGACGCGATGCGTACCTCTCGGAGTACCTTACCATCGGCCAGCTGCTGGACATCCTGGCGAGCACGGTCAGCTGCAACGGCAACCTGCTCATCAACGTAGGCCCGACAAAGGAAGGTGTCATCACGCCCATTTACGAAGAGCGGCTCACGCAGTTGGGGAAGTGGCTTTCCGTCAACGGCGAAGCGGTCTACGCATCGAAGCCCTGGAAGTACCAGAACGACACGGCCACGTCGAATGTATGGTACACGGCCAAGGATGACGTGGTGTACGTGTTCGTTATGAGGTGGCCCAAGAACGAGCAGCTTTACCTGGAGTCGCTGGAAATGTTACCAGGAGGCAGAATTACGATGCTCGGGCTACCCGCGCATCGGCCGCTTGCGTGGATACCCGCTCACTCGCTCGAAGGCGGTGGCCGGAAAGGAGCCTTCAAGAAGGGCACGGTAGTCAGATTTTCAAAGCTGACGGTAGACAAACTTCCCACTCCGTGGGCCTGGGTGCTAAAGGTGATAGGCGCCTCTGAAGCCTTGATGCCAAGCAGTTTGCCGAGTGCGAAAACAGAATGAATAAATAAATAAGGAAATAAATAAATAAATTCGTAGCCACTGGGCCGACTTGTTGAACGTTAAAAAAATATACCGCTGGCTCCAAAACAGACTTACCTTGTAGCGCTAGGTACTTTACTATAAATTCACTACACCATCAAGCCACACAAAAACTCCCAACGTCCGCCCCAGCGTGCAGTTGTTATTAGTCCAACATAAACAGTCTTGATATATATGTGGGCTTCTTGGTCCGCATCAGGGAGTCTTCAGGCTCTTTGGAGTAACGCGAATAATGCTTGCAGGCAGAGAAACACAACGCACTATCACGCACAGAGAATCGAGCACAGTCTTCAGTTTATTGCATCACAGTCCCGAATTGTTTGCCGCAGAGTCGCCGGCATTCGTGTATAACACGCACGTAACTACGCTAAGCGAAGAGATTCGAAGTTAACCAAGCGAATCGCTTCAAGAACACACGTAGAGCTCAAACGCGTCGATCTTTACCACATGCGCGTGGTCTCCGACTGATTTCCGTACCAATAAAACAAAAGCTCTTGTGACTTGAAGGAGAGTGACAAGTGGCATTAAATAGAAACTATTGCTGCTTTCGAAACAGTAGTGGTTATCTTTAGCTCTTGGCACAAGTTTATAACTTGAAAGCAGTGTGTTCAAACAATAATGAAAGATCTCGAATGACGCTTTAACTTCACCTCCGAGATATATAGACCGTGATAGCTAAGCGGGCCCCATTCGCACCACCACGCTTCACTTCTCGGGGAACGTATAAAAAAACGGAGCAAGGTAAGGAACGTGTATATGCTTATAACAGGCCGTTTCAAATAATGATATGTGCACATACTGCAGTGCAATAAGCGCTGTGATATGAGTGCGTCACGGAAGAAAATGTACTAAGAAAATGTGATACTGATAGTATTGAAACAGACCTGGACCGAGTAGTAAATGCACTTGGCCACGAGATGAGGATATGCTCTAGGATGCAAGTCTCAAACGGTCAATGCAAAACTACGGGATGGGCGCGAACGAATAGAACCGCGTCATAGATACCAGTCTTGAATCACATGAGCTAGGTTGCTAAATTTATACAAATTTGTGCGTGCACAGTAACATACCAAGTTTACCTTTTCATGGCACCTCTTTTATCACTCTGGCGGGCAGTTAGTATGGTTATTGGGGAGATTAAATGAACAGTGAACGATGTTGCACGATAAATTTAGTTATTCAACTCTGCGGTGTGAAGAAAGCGAAATTAAAATCAAAGAAGGCAGGAAGACACTGAGAAGTTGCGATTATAAAGATTGCAAATATGTACTTCACAGCGGCATTTTAACAGCAAAAGCTTGTTTAAGCCAGTGGTATAAAAAAACTCAGGTATGCACAATGTGCACAAAACAATCTTTACAAACCAAGTCGTGCTCGATCCCTTCATTTTCGTTAAATTGAATATGTTCAAGCTATCGGTAAGTTGTGCCTGCTCGTGATAAACTTCTCAGTTAGTTATGTGCCACAGGAGCTCGGCAATCCTCCCTACCGAGTACAGCACGTTGACAAAAAGGACCCTCTGATACAAGTGAAAGAGAGGGAGAAAGAGACAGAGAAAATCGGGAGAGAAAAAGTGATAGAAAGAAATAGAAGGGGAAAAATTTAACCATTTTTCGCTATTCTACCTCACACTAGCGGGACATGGTTTAATTTTTTTTCTCTTTGTATTCTTCCTATCCCAACTGACTGTCCCTACGTGAGACTGGCATGCTGCGCGTTGAGTCGTGCACCTCGGGACTTCAAATAAAGTTTCGCATCCATCCATCTCCCACGACAGGAAACCATGTGTAGATTCAAAGCAGCCGGCGTTAACGCTCACACAGGTGGCGGCGTTGATGCTGGCGGTCTTCGGAGCGTCGCCCAGGAGAGATTATCGACTAGAACATGCTAATCACTGCTAATAGGCAATGAGAGACAGAACACTCCCATTGGACACAGAAACCCGCAGTCCGCTTTTAGGTAACGCGCACGCTGTTGAACAACGCACAATAAAAAGCTCCCACCGGCACTACCTAGGAGATTTTGGTGGTAGTGGTTAGAAGAGGAAAAAGGCACATAATCTACAACTCTGGGCCGTCCAGCGTGCCGGGTGCTGCAGGCCCACTAAAAAACACCGGACTCGAATCGTCTGGATTCGACAAATAAAGTTTATGTTCTTCTTCTTCCTGCTGCCCGGTAGGGAGCACGGTGCAGTGCCTACCTAGGAAAAGTCCCAGAGCCTACATATACGAGGCGGCAGATCAGCGCGGGCAGTCGTTTTTTTTTCTTTTATTTTCAATCAATAAACTAGATTCAAGACGCTGCCTGCGTCTGCGTGTCGAGGCGAGAGAAAGAGGAGCGTAGGAAAGGAGAGGAAGGGGGAGCGGATGTGCATGCGCAGTAATGGTGGTCACGCCGCACACCGTATGGAACTCGATCAGAAGATGCTTCGCATCTAAAAAAAATGGCGAAGCTTCCACTAATCACGCAAGGCTTGAAACAGGGAAGCCGGACGATTATGAACTCTGACAAAACAGCCAGTAACCTATTGGACAAACCTGACAACTAGCTGAAGCACAGCGGGCATGGTAGATTTCGTCGTTTTTTTTTTAATCACATCTATTGTGTTAATCTCACACTGCTTCTCAGGGTTCGAGGCGACATATGCGTGGTGAAAAAAAACTCACAGCGCCCCTTGTGCTTTCGCCTAAAATGACACGCTATCGGAACGCTGTTTTACGCAACCGCACCGCCGATTCCGGTGCAGGATTCTGGAAACGTGAAGCTGAGTGTTTGCTTACGTAGGCTGCAATTAATATATTATCCGTCATCTCGAAGCTGCTTCTACGTTGTGGCATGACATGTTCAAGATAGTGTACCGATTACTCGCCCGCGGGCAAATAACAGCAATCGAGTATGAACTGATCGATATCGAGCGGGGACGCTATTGAGAAATGTATAAACAGGTCACTTCGTTTTACGCGACCTTCGATCTTCATCGTAACTTATTCATCGTATATATAAGCGATGGTGTTGTTCCCTTTCTTTGTCCGTGTGTCAGTGTGCGCTGAAAATAAGTTACGATGCACTCATGCCAACTAGCTCATCTTGCAATATTACTCCTTGTCGCTCTTCACCCCACCTTTCATACGCGATTTTCGCCTTCTCTTCTTTGTCTCCTATTTCTTTGCACATATCTTTTGCACCGACAAGTCGAGCCGCTATAGGCTGATAACATGCACATGTCTGAGTGAAATATATCATGCAGCTCTATGAAGCGGCGCTTATGATACCACATTAGCCGGTTGTTTGCTGTCGCTTATTTGTAGCACCTAAACCGTTTCATACCATCTTCATCTTAATGACCTTTACAGGATCGACACGTCGATAATTGTCACAATAGTTACTGAGGTTTGACGTCTCAAAAACGCGACAGGATTATGAAGAACACCGTATAGTGGAGGGCTTTGGAAATTTCGACCAACCAGTGTTCAATAATGTGCACTTCAATTTAAGTACACGGGATCAGGGATTTATTTTCGCCTCCATCTAAAATGCACCCGCCGCGGCCGGGATTCTATACCGCGACTTTCGGCTCAGCAGTAGAGTATCATGATAACTAGACCAGCGTGGCGGGTCGAAACCGAGACCTGAATAACTCGATCAATCTACTATATGCATTACACTATATGTCACTCGGCGTTGCGTTAATTATGGGTGCTGTGGATTCCATGTTTTATTAGTTGTACCCTCCGTCGTGTTTAGACTCCTGTTATAGGTGCCGGGTCCAAGCTGGGTCACAACGAGCATTCCAGCCGAGTCGCCGTGCAGTGCTCTACATTTAAAGCTGGTTTCGTCGATAAAGCGACATACATATTTCGCCGAGAAACTTGCGTCTCTCTGTAGTGTAAACTGTGGCGCCTCTGTTTAAAAGATAACTGGCAGTGAGAAGACCGAGAATCGTCGAGCCTACACGCACTTGTTACCTCTAAATTGAGATCACCACTTGCACAGACTCGCGAACATTTACTGTGTTACTTGAATGCAGTCGTCGGGTGCAGGAGCCTTCTTGAGTTGACAACGAGCCGCGCTCCCGCTGGTGATACCGAAGTAGCGCCATTGTTATCTACGCAACCTTCTCTAACTCCCTCTCCCACTTCAGAAGTCCGGACGCACGCTTAAGAGATAGGGTCTTCGATCGAACACTGGCGTGAGAGTGTCCTTGTGAGGACTGCACCTGCATCGACGGGACATTCGAGCTGCCTGAGCCTCCAGAGTCATAGCGGACAGCAACAACCGGTGCATCAAGGTACTGCTTCGAAAGTACAATCACAGTACGCCAGTGCGGCGAGGAATTAAACATCGCCGGCTTGGGTAACCGTTAAGATGAGTCTCTCTGCGTCGGGCGCACTCCTATTCGCACTCGCGGCAACAGCGGTGGCCAGCCCGTCCCGTGACCGGCGCTACACTCCCGACTGGTCGTCGCTGGACACCCGCCCGCTGCCTTCGTGGTTCGACGAGGCCAAAATCGGCGTGTTTCTTCACTGGGGCGTGTTCTCGGTGCCCAGCTTTGGGAGCGAGTGGTTCTGGCACAACTGGCACGAACAGCGAGTCCCGTACGTGGAATTTATGAGGCGCAACTACAGACCGGGCTTTACGTACCAGGATTTCGCGCCGCTGTTCACGGCCGAGTTTTTCGACCCTAATCGCTGGGCCGACATCTTCGCCAAGTGAGTGCAGTGGTGTTTGTATCGAACGTCTAAAGTACTGATTTTTCGGCTTGTTGGTTAGATTGAATTGACGTGGTAATAGCGCTAGACGGCACGGCTTAGGCGGATACACGGGCATAGTGCTCCGTGTCGTGTAGGGCTATGACACCTTCAAATGTATTTATGGAGGCAGCAGCAGCGGAGGGCGTTCCTGTTGGGGGGGGGGGGGGGGTAGCTGGATTATGAATTCCCGGAGTTGCTAGGCCGGGCTCGGTACATTCAAAATCACCTCGTGAAGATGGCACAATTTCAATGCTTGAAGTGGGTGACTAAATAAGCATACCTTATCTGTATAAACGGAGGAAGTGTCAAAGCCGTGAAGAGGAAACTTGAGATACGCAAAAATCGAATGTATGCACTAAGGGACAAAGAAGGCAAAATAATTACCAATATTGATAGGATAGTTAAAATAGCGGAGGAGTTTTACAGAGATCGGTACAGTAGCCGGGACAACCACGACTTTAATACTATAAAAACTAGCAGTAACCCAGATGACACCCCACCAGTAATGATAGAAGAAGTTAGAAAAGTTTTGGAGAGCATGCAAAGAGGCAAAACTGCTGGTGAGAATCAGATAACATCAGATCTGCTGAAAGATGGAGGACAAATTGTGTTAGAAAAACTAGCCACCCTGTTCACGAGGTGTCTCCTGACGGGAAGGGTACCAGAGTCTTGGAAGAACGCTAACATAATCTTAATACATAAGAAAGGAGATGACAAGGACTTGAAGAATTACAGGCCGATTAGCTTGCTCTCTGTAGTATACAAGCTATTTACAAAGGTAATTGCTAACAGAGTAAAGAAAACATTAAAATTCAATCAACCAAAGGAACAAGCAGGATTTCGAACAGGCTACTCAACAATCGACCACATTCATACTATCATTCAGGTAATACAGAAATGCTCAGAATATAACCAACCACTATACATAGCCTTCATAGATTACGAGAAAACGTTTAATTCAGTAGAAATATCAGCCGTCATGCAGACACTGCGGAATCAGGACGTCGATGAAGCATATATAAACATCCTGGAAGAAATCTACAGGGGATCAACTGCTACCATAGTGCTTCATAAAGAAAGCAGCAGAATACCAATCAAGAAGGGTGTAAGGCAGGGGGACACAATCTCCCCAATGCTATTTACCGCGTGCTTACAGGAGGTTTTCAGAAGCCTAGAATAGGAACAGTTAGGGATAAGAGTTAATGGAGAGTACCTTAGTAACCTGCGCTTTGCCAATGGCATTGCATTGCTGAGTAACTCAGGGGACGAATTGCAACTCATAATTACGGAGTTAGACAAGGAGAGCAGAAAGGTGGGTCTTAAAATGAATCTGCAGAAAACGAAAGTAATGTACAACAACCTCGGAAAAGAGCAGCACTTCGAGATAGGTAATAGTGCACTTCAAGTTGTAAAAGACTATGTCTACTTAGGGCAGGTAACAACCGCGGAGCCGAACCACGAGATTGAAGTAACTAGAAGAATAAGAATGGGGTGGAGCACAGTTGGCAAGCACTCTCAAATTATGACAGGTAGATTGCCACTATCCCTCAAGAGGAAGGTATATAACAGCTGTATCTTGCCGGTACTTAGCTACGGAGCAGAAACCTGGAGACTTACAAAGAGGGTTCAGCTTAAATTGAGGACGACGCAGCGAGCAATGAGAAGAAAAATGGTAGGTGTAACCTTAAGAGACGAGAAGAGAGCAGAGTGGATTAGGGAACAAACGGAGGTTAAGGATATCATAGCTGAAATTGAGAAAAAGAAATGGACATGGGCCGGGCATGTAGCGCGTAGACAGGATAACCGCTGGTCGTTAAGGGTAACTAACTGGATTCTAAGAGAAGGCAAGTGGTTTAGGGGGAGACAGAAGGTTAGGTGGGCAGATGAGATTAAGAAGTTTGCGGGTATAATTTGGCAGCAGCAAGCAAAGGACCGGGTTAACTGGCGGGACATGGGAGAGGCCTGTGTCCTGCGGTGGATGTAGTCAGGCTGATGATGATCTGTATATAAAAACTGAAATAAGCACTCGATTAGTTTGCGCAATTGGGCTGGCTATTTTATTTTAAAAAAATCAACTTACGTGTTATACTGCTCTTTGGAATATGACTCTTTGAGACACATCAAATTGTACTGGTTGCAATGACTGACGCTAATTGCAACGGCGTTGTAGTTTATTTTGCTTCCTAATCTATGAAGCGTAGCGAGTTATTAGCAAGTGAATTCCATAAGATAAAGTTATACCGTAATTTCGATGTTGCAGATTATGAAACCATCCCGATTTGCAGTGTGTGTTTCACGAATCTGGAAAACTTCTCAGCGATGGTACGTAAACTACAGTATACGCGTGCCTTAAATGAGTTTGTTCATAACTTACTTGCGGTATTCAAGCAGTACAATTGAAAACATTGGCAGAGGTTTCATTCTTTTAAACTTTCTAAACCTATAGTTATCATGAGTGAGCAGTGTATTTGGCTTAGTTTTGAAAAGCCTACGCACACAATGTTTAATTGAAATTCATCTTTATCGCAAACATTCTACTGTGTCGATACATGTCTGTTCAATGCTGACGAAAACGGTCTTGCTAACAAATTTAGCAGCTTTTGATTCCTTGTAACGTACAGTGGCCTACAGTTGCTCCGATGTTCCAGCAGGAATTTAGCCTTTGCTTGAGATATCGCAGACAGCCTTCAAGCTATGTTTACTGCACAATCAGATTCAGCCTCTCGCTTGCTTTGAAGAGCACTCACAGACGGCCAAAAACTATTCATACCAACCAGTAAGAGCATTTCAGCATGAATAACAGTGCTTTTGGGTGGCACGCGATAATTCCGAACAAATTACGAAAATCAAATGCTAAAGTTTCAGCTGCTTACCTTCTAAACCGCCGAACTAGAAAACATAACATTAAAGTATCCAGCATATCACTAAAACAACTGTGATTGGTTTGTACAATATTATGTGCTGTGACGACTACCTTTTTAGTATGCCTGCAATGCAATCTCTTTTAACAACTATGAAACCTACGTCTTTCTCTTATTAGGTTGTACTTAGCCGCACGCTCCTGCGCTCTCCTGCATGTGTAATAGGGGGGTCAGGGTTACTGAAGCTGTTCTAACATATTTTACCTGCCCTCCTCATAACGTGCTCTTGTAGCAGAATAAAATTTCACGTTCAGCTTCAACGTATGCAATGAGAGTTTAAATAGGGTCGATTTATAAAAGCCCTGGCGAACATACCAAAATAGAATAACATGTTTGCAGGTATAACGAATCAGTGTACTATATTTACTGGAACGTCAAAGGTGACAGTTAAATGAACATTCACTATAGCTGCAGTTCATTTCAGTTCAGTTCTGGAAACTACTACAGAGAATGTTCTTGCTCGTTCATGAACGTTTAAAATTACGCGAGCTTGTTCTTTGAGTGTTGGTGGCCTATTTTGTCTGAGCAATGCTGCAGTGAAGCCGTTTATACAATGTTTTTTTTTCTTCTTTTATGGTGTTCTGTCATAACTGTCTCGAGCAGCGCATTAATGATAGCCATTCATGGTCCATCTATCGTGGATTTATTTCATTCACTATATTCACAAAAATCAGTTGCAACTTTTGTCGTCTACTGTAAGCTTCATGGAGGCAAAAATGGTGGAGGCCTGTTCACTGTGCTACTTTATAGTGCTCATTTGGTCGAAATTTTCGCAGCCCTGCACTAAGGCCATTCTCATATCGTGGCTTTGGGATGTAAAACCCCCGATACTATTACTGTTACTGTAAGCTTCACGGCACTGTTACCTTCTAGGCAAAAAGCTAACGAAACGGAAACAGTATGAGAGATCCGTTATGCATTATTACGCGTATAAAGGCGTCAGCAAGCTTAACCGCAGCGCGACATGGGCTGATTGGGCTGACGTCAACCGCGAAGCGCTTGGCGCAGTTGCCGATATACCTGGGTATGCGTGGATAGTATGTCAGCACGCATGGGTAGTACGTCGGCAACAGAACCCAAAGCTACATGGCGTTAGCGTCAATCGAATCGTTTCAGGACACGCGGCTGAGCATTCGAGTTAAGCTTGCTTGCGAACATACAAAACACTTCACAAACAGTTCGTGAAAGACGTACTTAGTGTAGCGGGTGTAGGTACAAACTGCTGTATTGTTGCAGAAATGGTGCTTCGATACGACTGCTCATGAGATGAGCCAGTGGCGTAGCCAGGTGTAGGGGCATTGAATTCCCCCTTCGTAACTTCTTAAACTTTGCATGTGTATAGTGCACGCACAGATATTATACAAATGGACGCACGAACATGCAAACAATATGGTTACGACCCTTCTTTCGAAAAAAAGATTTCAGGCAACGTTACGGAGGTAAACATTAATAATGTCATTATCAAGTGGTTAGTTTCTTACGGCCACTTTCAGTGCCCCCTTCCGACTGTTTTCCTATTTTCTCTGCAGTACAACTACTAAACTCGTTCTGAACATAGTAAACGAATGTCTGCATTAGTTCACTCTACCCGTCCTTCATATATGAAACATAAAGCACATGAATGCCTAGGAATCGGCTGTTACCGCGATCTTGTAGTTTTTCTTCAATTCCTAAGAAGTGGAGACACCTGGACGCGGCGCCATCTCCCGTCGACAGGAACGCTAGCCTGCCATAACTGAACGGGAAATAAAAGGTGAAAGTCGCATATCTTAAAAAAGCTAGTTAACAAAAACAATTTTGGCTTATATGTGACAGAGAGCCACTGGTACAGTTTGGTAAAACTGCAGTATCACATCATGAAGCACGCGGTATTCCAGACAATTGAACACCGCCCATAAAAACACATGGGACCCATTTTTAAATATGAAACACTTTGAGAAGCCACGCAGTTTGCAGTGCGACACTGAAATTTTAACAAATTGTACCAGTGGGCATCTGCTAAATGTAACCCGGAGTCGTTTTGAATAGCTAGGTTTTTTCGATAGATATGATTTCTTTCGCCTATTTCCCATTCAGTTACGGCAGGCCGCCGCTGTAGCTGACGAGAGATGGCGCTACGTGTAGATGTCTTAAAATTGTACTCATGAGGCCCAAAAGTCTAAAGGCTGGACAGTGGCCATTCCCAACAGCTAGTCGCAGAATCTGTCAGTCAGGGGAAGCGCCACTTTACAAAAAATGAACGAAATCAAATAGTACTAAGACACAGATTGAACTACGCTACCTTATGCTTGACATAGTAAGTTTTCTTGTAATGCTTATATAGTGACTCTTGCAATGTTCTCAACGACTCGGGTACGCGCATAGCCAGAAGAAGGGATGGATAACAGTTAACTCCCTGAAATTTTTATTGTTTACCGTATGTACACCTACACAGTTGCATCTCTCGCTAAATAATATCCTGGATGCGCTCCTGGTGTTTGGTAACAAGTTTTATGAAAATAGGTTCATTTTTTGCATTGCATTACTTAAAAAATCATTAATATATTGGTGTTCTACGGGAGACACACCTCGTATATTTTTTAGGTCCTGATGTACCATAAACCTGCAAATGGTGGTATTCAAAGAGAAATGCTTGGGTTCATTGATCTTTTATGCTCACTCAACGTATACATTCGCCCTCAGGTCGGGAGCCAAGTACGTGGTGTTGACGGGCAAGCACCACGAGGGCTTCACGCTGTGGCCTTCTGATGTTTCGTGGAACTGGAACGCCAAAGATGTGGGACCACACCGGGACTTGGTGGGAGATCTGGCCGACGCTGTTCGGCGCCGCGCAGGATTGCGGTTCGGCGTGTACCACTCCATGATGGACTGGTACCACCCGCTCTACCTGGCAGACAAGGCATCCGGATTCGAGAGCTCCTTCTTTCCACCAGCTAAAGCTATCCCTGAACTTATGGAGATTGTGGAAAGGTGAGTTTGGTTCGTCTGCGCCTGATTCCCTATTGTTTCTTTTATCGGCTCAGTCGCAAGCTGTGGCCCTAGAAAATTCTGTTATCCTTAATTCGAAGACGCTTAGCCAGCGCACTCCCGCTCGGCTGAGCACATGCATCCATAAACTTATGATGATTGTAGGGATAACAGAGAAACTCAGTGCCAAGTTACTCAAGGGGCTTGCATACCATAGCGCTTGCCTTAATTTCTAATTGCTTTATGTGGTGAACAAATAAAAGTGGGTAGACGGAACAATAATAAATGCAATAATGAGTGAACTTAGTGGCTTGCGGTCACGGGCACAAAAACTTTTCGACATTAGGGATATCAGGGACCTTTTCAATACGCTGACACATGATATTGGGCTAGTCCTGTTGAACGATCGTGTACGTATCGATACGTACACTATAATGGAGTAATGCAGATGTATTTATTTAGCATTGAAATTCCCCCTTCTCCCGCGCTGGCTATAAAACTATGTTTATTATGACCTGCTTGCTTTGGTTAACTTCATCACACTACTTCATATTTTCTTGTCAAACACAGGTGTATTATTCCTTTCTTGAAATATATATTTTTAAGTCAGGCAATACAGACTACTAATGCAGCACCTGTGCCTCTCTGTAGGTAAAAAACACACAAAAAACGCATGAGCTGAGTTGAATTTTGTTCGCATCACACGCTTCGTGTACACTGTGGGTGAAGGAATGCATTACTGGGCGAGCACGCTCGAATAGTCGAGAAATTATTGAAGCTGAATCCTTTGTCACATGCAAGTAGCGAAGGCTGGCACCGGATACCCATCTTCACCCCAGTGCGTTGTGTTGACATAGCTTTAAACTGTATAAAGACCTAAGGCGTCAGCAAAGTATAGAGGAAGTGGCCACACTGTTCATTGCATGTGGGGTGTGGTGGCTTTAGTACTTCTGTTTTCTTGAGCTCAGCTGCATTTTGGCTGAGTTATCAACACTAATTTTGTTCAGACTGAACCAAGCATTCACATACACGTGACGTTGTGTGTATGTTTGCAATGTCACGAAGCATCGCGTCGTTGATCCGTTGATGCTTTTAGTTACACAAAAACCATGTTTTCTTCAACCTATACAGGTACGAGCCGGACATTGTGTGGTCCGACGGAGAATGGGAAGCGCCGGACACTTACTGGAACAGCACCGCTTTCCTCGCCTGGCTGTACAACGACAGCCCCGTCCGCTCCTACGTCGTGGTCAACGACCGCTGGGGTAAAGGGGTCCGCTGCAAGCACGGAGACTTCTTCAACTGCGACGACCAGTTTAATCCAGGCGTGCTGCAGCCGCACAAGTGGGAGAACTGCCTGCCAATCGACCAGGGCTCGTGGGGCTACAGACGCGACGCAAACCTGTCAGACTACCGCACGATTGGCCAACTTCTCGACATCCTGGCGAGCACGATCAGCTGCAACGGCAACCTGCTCATCAACGTCGGACCGACCAAGGACGGCATCATCTCTCCGATTTTCGAAGAGCGGCTCACACAGTTGGGGCAGTGGCTTTCTGTGAATGGCGAAGCGGTCTACGGATCGAAGCCCTGGAAGTACCAGAACGACACGGCCACGCCAAACGTGTGGTACACGGCCAAGGATGATGTGGTGTACGTGTACGTAATGAGGTGGCCTAAGAACGAGCGGCTCTACCTGGAGTCATTGGAATTGTCACCGCAAAGTAGAGTAACCATGCTGGGTCTACCGACCGCGCAGGAGTTTGCATGGACATCAGTTCAGTATACGGGAGATGCTCCCAGCAGTACAGCTGCTCAGAAAGGCACCGTGGTGTCTTTTCCCAAGCTGACACCAGACCAGCTGCCCACGCCATGGGCGTGGGTGTTGAAGGTAGAAGCCCCTATGTAAATTGATATTTGCGGGAAAATTATCAAAGTCAAGCTTTTCTAATCCACTCTGGAGGAAAAGGGGCGGGTGGAGGTGGGAAAGGCCGCGATTCGGACGGCGTCCGCCGTGTAATTGGGGCCGGTACTCCAACTATGCACCGTACTTACACGATTGTAAGCCGACTCGAATGTAGGTCGACCCGCATGAAATCGCATGGTAAAAAAACAAAAAACGAACAACAAAACAAGGGTGCTCAAGCACATTTCATCAAAAATTATTTACCATGTCTGTAAAAACAATACCAAACTCTGCTGTATTGAGTATGCTTCACGGCAGTGCTCATGAGTTGTGCAAAAAAGCTAGTTTAACAAAAAATGTGGTGAATATTTTTACAAGACTTAGTAACCGAGGCTAGTTTTCGGTTCTAGATCGAGCCCCAAAATGCGGATTTCTAATTAAGACAAAATAGGTCGGCCTACAATCGTGTAAACACAGGCATGCGTTGGAGAAGGCCCGCAGAATAACTAAGTCGTTGCTGCGATAAAACATTTTGTAGTTTAGTTTTACTGCTTTACACAGCCCCAATAAACAGTAGCAACAGGTAGCAACCAACAAAAGGACATAAAAACTGCATTCGCTCCTTTCATGCTTCTCGAATAAGCGCCGAAAAGTTGACCACAATGTTCCTTTTTACCACGACGTTTACTGGCTCACATTTAAACATCCTGACTTGGCTTGTTCCAGCTTTCGTTGATAGCGCTGGTGAGTATGTTGTTCTTGTCTGTGGTGCTTTCAAGTCTTTGGAATATTCAAGAATATCTATACACAAATATGGCGACCGCATGTGGACAAGACTTCCGTTAAACAATAGATTGAAACAGGGGTGGTGCGAATTTATTTGCAGATAATGAAGCTTCTCGTCAGAGGGAGCAAGCGAGGAATCGCTAACACGTGCACCAGTTTCCTTCTTAATAATGAGATCTTCATAACGTTCCTCCTCCCCCCTGAGTTAGCAGCACTCTGGTTTTTCTGTAGTATACGGGTGACGTGAGCACTTCCTGCACTGGTCCACAAACTGTCCACCGCCGGCCAGCGCCTGCACTGCTGCTCGGTGCTTCAACAGCCTTACGTTAGTACACCTGCCAGTTTGGTCGACGTAACAATGACCACAGTAAGGCGGAATCCTGGACGAAACGGGTGACGTGGCCCACTTTACACGCTTTGTCTCGGCTTAGCCCGTCCACCCATTGAGACCAGTTTGTTACACTTATCGTTCTCGGCACCGATCAGCCCTACTATCCGCCTTAACAATGCTAAAAAGCTCCGATTGTTTGAGTTGTAATGATGATTGTAGTGGGTCATGCAAATCTCGGCACACACATTGTCAGTGCTAAGCACGAGACGCTCGGCCCGGACTGTCGCTGATTTTGCTAGCTAGGCCTACGCTCCTACCTGGTCTCGGATAACAGTTTTGACTGTCCCCGTTCTATATTATAATTGGTGGAGGTGCGGGGTCTCCTTGCAATCCTGGAATTGCGAAGCCGAACTCTACCTGCTGTCATGACCACTGCATCTGCCACAAGCCCTCCTCCTATGGCTTCCCAGGCCATCATGTGCTCCGGCGCGGTCCGTCAGCGGGATCCTCCCATATTCAGCGGCACTGACGACCACGACGTCGACGATTGGCTGGCTACTTACGAACTCTTGAGTGTCTTGAACAAATGGGACGAAGCCACGAGACTGGCCACTGTCGGCATTTACCTCAGTGGCATTGCCCACTTATGGCTTCGGAACCATGAGACCGACGTTCCCACCTGGACAGCATTCAAAGCAAAGTTCAGCGAAGTCTTTGGTCGTCCTTCTGTCCGCAAACTTCGTGCGGAGCAGCGCCTTCAGTCGAGATCTCACCTGCCTGGTAAGAACTTTACAAGTTACTTAGAAGACGTCATTGACTTGTGCAAGCGCGTTGATGTGAACATGACAGAGGTGGACCGCATCAAGCATATTTTTAACGGTATTGACGAGGACGCTTTCCAGATGCTCATTTCAAAAAGCCCTGCTACTGTCGCCCAAGTTACCGAGCTCTGCCAAAGCTATGATGAGCTCCGCCGGCAACGTCTCGTCACCCGCCGTGCTGTCCCACATCAGGAATCGATGTCCGGCTTAACTCCCTCGCAAGACCCCGTCCTCCTCTCGCAGATCAAAGATTTCGTGCGCGAAGAAGTTGCCCGCCAACTCTCGCTCATCTCTGGCCTACCGGAGCGCAGTGCACCACTTAGCCCTACTCTACGGACTATTATACGAGATCAAGTGTCTGAGGTCCTTCCTCCGCAGCTGGTGCCACCAGTCAATGCACCATTGACGTACGCCGAAGCAGCAGCACGACCACGACCACAGACGTTCCAAGCGCCGCCTCCACAGCCTGCTCCTGTTTATGCCGCCCAGCTGCCACGACCTCCAGTTCACCGAGTCCCTAATCCATGGCGCACTGCCGACAACCGACCGATCTGCTTTTCGTGTGGTCTACCTGGGCACGTCGCACGTCTGTGCCGCCGCCGCCCACTCCACTCACGTGAAAACCTACGTCCATACGAGAACGATTACACGTACACTCAATACACCCCAGACCCCGAATTGTACGCTCCTCGTCCAAGCCACCGACCAGCTCCTGATCGCCGATCTCCTTCTCCACGTCGACGCTCGCCCTCCCCGATGCGCCGACGCCCCCCTACAATCGACGCGGAAAACTAAATGACGCAGTTCCCGAGGCAAGAACTGCGTCCTCGTCGCAAAGCACAAGCCCTCTTCGTTCGCCGCCGAATGTAATTAATGCCGTTCTTGAAGGTGTACCCGTACTTGCCCTTATTGATACTGGTGCCGCAATTTCTGTCGTCGCCGAAAAAGTTTGCCGTTCAATTCGAAAAGTGACAACGCCTTACTTGGGTTCATGTCTTCATACTGCCACTGCACAGCCTGTGCAGCCTGTGGCCGCGTGTACTGCCAGACTTGTAATTCAAGGAGTGCCCTACACAGTCCAGTTCGTAGTACTCCCGCACTGTTCTCATGACATCATTTTAGGTTGGGATTTTCTCTCGCATCACCAAGCCGTCATTGATTGCGCCCGTGCCGAAGTCGCCTTTTGTCCCCTTGGTGATGCGCTACCAGTGCACGATCGCCCTTCCGACGCGAAGTTGGTCATTAGTGACGACACCCAAATCCCTCCACGCGCTACTGTCTTCGCACCTGTGTCGTGTTCCACCGTCGTCGACGCTACCGCATTCTTCACGCCTTCGGCTGCTTTCGTTCATCGCCACCTATCACCGCTCCCAACTGCTCTCATTACTCTTCAAGGTGGTGCGACCAACGTGCCTGTGGAGAATCTGTTCCCATTCACGATTACGCTACTTCGAGGCGAATGTATTGGTTCGATAGAATCATTCGAAACCATCGCTACACTTGACGTTCCTGATGAATCATCGGAAGTCAGCGCCCTCTCCTGTAGTTCCGTGAATGACCCTTCCACTACCGACATTTTCAACCGTGTCATCGACGAAGGCCTAAACCCACAACAGAGGTGTGAGCTTTTGAGCCTCCTTGACAAGTTTCGACCATCTTTTGACAGTCACAGCGCTGCTTTAGGTCGCACATCTACCGTATGCCGCCAGATCGACACAGGTAATCACCCACCACTACGGCAGCGACCATACCGTGTTTCGCCAACTGAACGCCGTATCATCGATGAACAAGTAGGTGACATGCTAAAGCAAGGCGTCGTTCAACTGTCAAACAGTCTTTGGGCGTCGCCGGTTGTTTTAGTTAAAAAGAAGGATGGCAAGATACGCTTTTGCGTAGATTATCGTCGCCTAAACAAAATACACGAAAGGATGTTTATCCTTTGCCTCGAATTGATGACGCCATCGACTCTTTACAAGGCGCAGAGTTCTTTTCCTCCCTTGATCTACGCTCTGGGTACTGGCAAGTGCCCATGAATCAGGATGATAGGCCAAAAACTGCATTTGTTACACCAGACGGCTTATACGAATTTAACGTGATGCCATTCGGGCTTTGCAATGCGCCGGCAACATTTGAGCGCATGATGGACACTATCCTACGAGGCCTCAAATGGAACACGTGTTTGTGCTACTTAGACGATGTAGTGGTATTCTCACCCGATTTTTCCACGCACCTTCGTCGCTTGGAACAGGTTCTACGCTGCCTCTCTGCAGCAGGCCTCCAACTCAACTTGAAGAAGTGTCACTTTGGAGCGCGCAAGCTGAACATTCTCGGACACGTCGTGTCGAAGAATGGCGTTCTTCCTGACCCCGCTAAGCTACGTGCTGTTCGCGAGTTCCCGAGGCCCGCGTCTCTCAAGCAGCTGCGTAGTTTCATTGGGCTTTGCTCATACTTCCGCCGCTTCGTCCGAGATTTCGCCTCGATCATGGCGCCTCTGACAGACCTACTTCAGGGAGACCGCAATCTATCTGCGTGGTCTCCAGCTTGCGACAGTGCCTTTGCGAAGCTCCGTGAACTGCTTACAACACCACCCATACTGCGTCATTTCGATTCAAGCGCTCCCACAGAAATCCACACAGATGCTAGCGGTGTCGGTCTTGGCGCTGTACTCGCCCAACGAAAGCCTGGTTACCAAGAATATGTTGTTGCGTACGCGAGCCGCACTCTTACAAGAACAGAAGCAAATTATTCGGTAACTGAGAAAGAATGCCTAGCGATTATCTGGGCCATTACAAAATTTCGGCCTTATCTGTACGGCCGCCCTTTCGATGTTGTTACCGACCACCACGCGCTCTGCTGGTTATCCTCCCTCAAAGATCCCTCAGGACGCTTGGCACGATGGGCTTTACGGCTCCAAGAGTACGACATCCGCGTCATTTATCGCTCAGGCCAGAAGCACGCCGATGCCGACGCTCTTTCGCGTTCGCCTGTTTCTACTGATATTGCGAGTGTCTCCATCCAAGACAACTTCCTTCCACTATCAGGACCCATAAACATGGCTGCGGAGCAGCGCAAAGATTCGTGGATTGCGTCTCTGATGGATTACCTATCTGAAACACTCGCCCACCCGCCATCTCGAGCGCTACACCGACAAGCCTCTCACTTCGCCATCCGTGATGGAATACTTTATCGCCGCAACTACCACCCTGACGGTCGCAAATGGCTACTCGTCATACCCAGGCATCTCCGCGCCAGCATATGTGCTGCTTTCCA